AACCAAAGATCTAAACCTGGTAATGCTCAAGATAAAAATATCCAACAGAAGAATACAGGAAAGGGTGATGAAGATGATGTRGATGAGAGGGATTGGAACGAAGATGAAATCTTCAGATTGAGCGAGTAAGGAAACAACCTTGATATGAAATCTTGTTTTATTTTGAAACCAAAATAGGCCATTTCACGGATCCTGTTACTCAACCTCAGCCTCATCAGCATGTAATTATTCTTTAGAATTTGACTACAGTCCGCAGTAATGAAAGGAATTTACACATCAACGAACAATTGAAACACTTAAAACTTTCACAGGTTGTAGGCAATTTCTAAAGAGTATATTATACGCTGACGAGGCTGAGGTTGAGCAGGATCTGTGAAATGGTCTATTGAGGAACCAATTATTTTTTAATTTTTAATTAATTATCATTTTTTAATCATTTTTTATTTCTTAATGACATTTTTTTCTTTTAACCTTGGAATCAAATTGTGTTCWATTTTTTAACCATAATTTGGGAACCAACCTTTTTGCGATTTTTTTCCCCCTAGGGCACTTCACTCAATTCCGCTCAGCACAGCGAGGTTTTGGCAAAAAGTTTCCAAGTCAGTTGAAACGAGAACTGCACAAGAGTGTCAGTTGAAGTATGATAAACAGTTGAACTTGAAACCAAGAAAAGTGGTGAAACCAAAAGWGAAACAGCCAAAGGCTAATCAGAAAGGTAAAGTGCAGATAGTAACAAATTAGAATTATTTCACAAAGAGGGGGGAGGTGGGGAAGAGAATGGATGGAATGATAAATGGATAGAGAGGCAAATAGCCTGCGTAGTGGCCCAAAGGGAAGGGGGACTGGGGAGAGGAAGGAAACTGGGGAGAGGAATGGGAGGGGGACTGGGGAGAGAAAGGGCCCTACCGCCTCCTAATTAATATGCAATCTCTCAACCAATCAAATGAGAGAAACTATCTGAATCAACTCCACTGACATCTGATTGGCGTATCGACTTTATCAGCCAATCAAAATTAACGTTCAGATTCTGAACACTCGTAGGAAAAATCAAGGGGATTCATTTTACACCCTAGCTTTCCTCCCTTCCTCTCCCCAGTCCCCTTCCCATTCTTATCTATCCATTACTTACCATCCACACCCCATCTCCAACAAACTCCAGGCCAATTTAAGTATTATTCTATCTATCCATTTTTTTATATTCATCCACATCGCCAGCCACATTTCCATCCATTCATTTATCCATTTTTCTGTGCATACACATCCCTTTTAGGCACACTTCTATTTATCCATTTTATTGTCTATCCACCCCTTTATAGTTTCTTCCATTTTTTTATTCACTTATTCACTTTTTTTTCT